AAATCGCGCAGCGAATGAAAACGAAAGAAAAAATGAAATACATCGAAAGTGAGCATATAGCCAGCGATCTTGTCGACGTATCAGCGAAGCGCGCGCGCTCCGCTGGTTGTTTGCATGGCCGTTAAGTCCGTCCGTGTGTCCGCTATGTCCGTCTCTGTCGGATCTGCTTTCGAGTGCCCACCATCATAGTCGACGTGACGACTGCGACGACGCACAGTGGTCCCAAATGGGGTTTCAAACTGCAAAAACTGGAATCTAATAAAAATTAACAGCAAAAGTTTCTTGGATTTCAAAATGATTAGCAAATTAACTTTCTAATCGCTGAAAATTTGACTCACTAGAAGAAACAATTTATCCATTAATAGCTTTTATGGAATGGTTTGAATTAATTTGATCAAAACCACATATTTTGTTTCATTTGTTTTCATTCATATTCTAGAAACCGAACACTTTTTATATTAAAAATATGAAACACCTGCATGAAAAATCGCGAACTTACAAAACAAATCTATATTACATTTTCGGTACACATTTTAGGTCTTGTTTTAAGTATTATAAGAAAATCTTTTAAATATTCTTAATAAGAAACGATTTGACGAAGAATTACAGATAATTTTCAGTTTCTTTAAAATCAGCTTGAAGGTTAAATTATTTAATATTATTTTAAACTCAAGTTTGAAAACCACATTTTCATCTATATTAAAAGTCCAAAAAAAAGTTTAAAACATAAACCATTTAAGAATCAATTAGAGATTTTACTTACGATATTATATTTCAGCTTTAGAGTTCTAATATATTATTTTAGTTGTCAGACATATGTTCGATCTTTCGTCTTACAAGAATCCACTCAGCGGTAATGAACAATCTTTTCGTTTCTTTTAACAGAGGTTTTTTAGCAATAAAATAAAAAAAAATAATAATAGATCTCCAAGAAGATCGCCAGGTCACTTAGTAACTGAAACTGGAATGGATTGGTTAGTAGGGATTTTTAAAAATAACTTTGTTTCAGTAACCAATTAGATCTTAACAATTATAAATCGATTTAATCTATCTCACAACTTGGATTTCCAATACAAACCTTAACAAGCTCAGACTAACTAATAATTTGAACACAAATTGGGTAATTATTAAAGTAGACTAGGAATATAATGTTGCGTCATTTAATACTAAAATATATCTTTCAGCTACAAAAAACTAATCTTTTTAAGTCATAGCTTTAACTAAAAAGTTTCTGCTGCTCGAAAATATCTTCAATCGATTTGTTTTTCCTACGCAGTCAACATTCCAAATTTGAATTTTTGTGAGTAATTTTGTGCGTGTGGCCCACTGTGCGACGTCTCAGTTACAAAGCAGCAGCGAGTTTTGAAACCGAACCCGACAGTCGTAGCTAAACGTGCAATCTTTGTTGTTGTTGTTATTGTTGCCGTTTTATGTTTTATACGCTTTTTAACTTTATTATCTGTATATACATATGTATATTTATAAATGTGTGTGTGTGTGTGTGTGTGTGTGTGTGCGAGCGTATGTGTGTGTGTGTGGCATGTATAGCACTAAACATTCTACAATTGGCTCATTTAGCTGCGTAGCCACAGCCCCGCACACACAAATTGAAAACAGCAACGTTTTGTTGTTGTAATTGTTGTTGTTGTTGTTATAGTCGTGTTGCTGTCGTCGTCGAGTTCGTTTCTAATTATACGATAGGTGCGCTATGAGCCATGAAACGTGCGGGGTCTGACCTTCTCTCTTACTGGGCTCTACAGTTGAGCCGTTTCTGTATGCATTTTGTTGCCTTTGGCTGGCGTCTTGAAATAGTTTTAGTTTTAGTTTTTGTTTTTGTTTTAGTGGCCATAGCCACATACTACGAGTGTACTTGTAGATACATGACGCCGATATCGGGCCAGTAGTGTGTTATTAAATATTTTTTGCGATTTTTCAAAAAGGCTTCTGCACAGAAGTTGTTATTAGCCCCAGCGTTTATTTCATTTTCATATTAATAGTTTAATGGTTGCCATTTAGGCAAATGCGCCAATGGCATGAGGCCTGCTGAGTCCGCCTCTGAATGTGCTGCTGATTTCGTGAGTTAAGTAAATTGGTGCATGGGATTCTGAAGATCTTGAAATCCGTAAAAAGATCAACTGGAATACAATGCACAGTTTTCTTTCAGCACACCTTTAAGTCGTTCTTTTGAATGTCACTAAGAGTTTTTCTTTTTAGTCAACTCTGACTTCAAATTACTCTAAAGAGGAGCTTAAATATGTATTAGAGTTTCACTTTTCTCAACATTTAAATAAATTTGTTTTTTATTTCATTTTTTTGCATTTTAACTACATATTTTTAGTTTCATATTTTAGCTGTGCTTTTCCTCTACTACTTTATTTATGCCAGTAGTTTATTTACATTTTCTTTGAGATTCTTTCATTAACTTGATTTTTGTTTTATTTCTATGCTTCTTTCGTATTTGCCCTTTAACATAGTTATAACTAATTGCGACGCTCGAATTCGAGCACCGGCACCTGAATTGGAAAATAGTAGAATTCGAAATTAACTGCCTCACCTCTAGGTCTAAAGAACGCCTGCGAGCTCAACAAAATAGACTGAGAGGACATCAACTTGCCAATCAGATGTAATTGCCTTGCCTGATGCCTGTTATCATTTTATTGCGTTCTAATGTGTCCTTTTTTATTAACTTTATTCTAAATATATGTATGTATCTAAATAATTTAACAACTAAGTTATGTACAATTTTTCGTGCCAACTCTCAACTGCCCAATAAAAAGGTACCTATTTGCTTGTATAAGTGAATTTTAAGTGATTCAATTACTTTTCATTACAAAAAGGATTTATCTTCAACTCACTATTTTAAGATTCACCTTTTTAAGTTCGTTAGGTCTAATAACACCTCCGACCACATTTGGCTGTGAATTGGGACATGGTTGGCAAATAAAATTAACCCAACGTTTATTGTTTACTTATCAAGCTGATTTTTTTGCAGTACTTAAGTTGTAAAATAATAAAATCCATTATTATACTTCACAACATAGAATATGTGATACACAAATTTTGTGTAACAAGAAATCAATTAATTTGTGTTAGTCATTTATTTCATTAGTATTTAAATTATTTACTTTTATAACTTGATTTAAAAAGTAAACTTAATCAAAATGAAGGTAATATTTAGTTTTGACGCATGCAAGTTTTCTTAGAACCTTTTTTAAGGAACTAATTTATTGTAGTCATGAAAATGTAATTTGTTTATTTGGTTGAAAATCGATGACCAGAATATAAAGGAATTAGAATGCAAAACACATATTAAGCCTTTAGAGATTTAATATCTCTGGGTGTAGATTTAAATCTAGCTTCTTATAGAGGTAATCGTATTTGTCGAAATGTATATTTTGGTTGGTATAAATGTCCAACAGTTTAATTTCTGCGCCTGATTCTCAATAGCATACTAATATCAAAGGAAAACAGCTTACAGTTTAAGAACCCAAAAACTTCTGCTTCGGCTGACGTTCCAATTCGGCAACGTATGCTTTGAAACAACATAAAAATCATCTAAAGTACACAACGATATTACCATCCACAGAACATTTCCTTTCGTCTGCAAAAAAACCTGATAGCGTCTACATAATTGTAGATGGTTTCTAAATAATCGTTGTTAGAGCAGCTTCCTTCTAATCAAAAAACCTGTCTTTATTAGGTTTGTCCATCCGAAAGCCTGATGAGCCACAACTCAGTTACCTCATTTTCTCAATTGCCTCATCGCTTCATCTGCTTCGTTGAATCAGCTTCAAAAGGAACCCGTTACATTTGCTTTTTTTCTCAACTACTCAGCAAGTAATCTGATATATTTTTGTTCATACATCTTCGGTATTAAGACCAACGCATTTCCGCATTCGAAACTAGATTTAATTATTATTTTTTGACACCCACACATGTACGCACATGAGCCTCAATTGTAACAAAAGCTGATGCTCTGTGCTCGAATGTCGAGCTTATTAAAACTACTATTTCCATATGGGACGAACACCACCACGCACAACAAACACATCTCGCGCTTATCAACATCGAAATGTTCAAGTGTCAGAGCATTGGATTTATCCATCCATCGCTATATACATAGTAGATACATGCTCGTGTGTACTTATTTACCTGCCTATGTGGGAGCCTAAGCGGCTTGATGACACGTCAGTTCTGAGTTTTGTGGCGTGTTGTGTTGTGTTGTGTTGTGTTGTGTTGTGTTGGGGAAGCGACATCTTCGAGATCTTCGTCAATGGAGTGTCAGGCAGAGGGTGAGGAGGAAACAGGTTAACAAATTAAAAGGGGGAAAAAAAGAAGTGTCAATAAATGTCATGGAAAGCCACTTACTGCCTGAGAAGTTACAGAGTTGGGGCCTCACCCCAAAAAAACACAAAAAAAGGAAAAATAAAACAAAAACACTTTAAAGTTTAATCATAGCGCGCCATATCCGTTGCCGCGAGCATTCGACGACTGCCAAACATCTGTCAATATTAACGGCTTGGTATTTACGAGTACTGTTGTTGCGGTTCTTGCTGCTCTTGTTGCTGTTGTTGCTGTGGTTGTTGCTGCTGCTGTGGCTGTGGCTGCTCAGCCAATGCCCAGGCTCAATTATAGTTTTGATTTAAATCAGTCTACTGACCCAAAAGTTCAACTACGGAAATTGCAAATTTAATAATTGACTACAACACTAAGGCTAGGAAAACGCGCGAGCCGAAAACGAAAACTAGGGGGCTTATTAATGACGATAACCTTGGCTGATTTAATTTCTTGTTGTTGCGCCTTGTGTTTCTTTTTTTTTTTTTTTTTGTATACAATATTTTTCGCGAGCTGTGATTATTTACAACAGCAACAAGAGCAACAACAATGGCTAAAATCGAAACTTGCACAATTTCGACACTAAACGACAAAACGGCAGCGCAAACATTTGTCTTAAGCCTGCCTGCCTGCCTGCCTGCAGATAGACAGACAAATAGTCAGCCCATGGCTGGCAGTTAGTCGCATATTTAATTAAGAGATTGAAGCCGCCAATAGTGTTGAACAATGGTACATGATGTTTGCTAGCACGAGTTACTACACTGCCCGAAAATATTCAATTTTCTCTGCTAATGCAATTCAATTTCGCTGGTGCTGGTCTCCCGCACTGGCACCTGATAGGCCACTGAGAATTTGAGCCGCCTCGGATAGCGTTCACGCACAAAGGGCGAGAAGCTCACACGCTCCATGAAGGGCTCCGGCACGCACTGCGTCAAGATCCAGTCCCTCACCTTGTTGATGTTCCCAATGGTGCCCTCCATCTCGCCATAGGCTCGACGTCCATTGTGCGTGTAAATAATGTAGCCACACACATCGTTACATCTGGTGAACTGCAGAATCTTCTTCCGAAAGCCAATGCCGCGCATAATGTGCAGTAACTTGAACTCCGTCGTCACTATAGTATCGGAGTGTATGGCCCAATAATAGGCGGCTGGCTTGCTGGCATCTAGAACTGAGAACATTTTTCTGATTTTGTCTTTATTTAATTGTGTAAGTGGAAGAAAACTGAAAACAAATACAAGTAATTTGTGTAAGGCAGCAAAGTCTGTCAAACTGTCTCTGTTAGTTTTAAATACTCGTATATTTTTATGAAAATGTCTAAGCAATTCGTGCTGAGCAGCAAAGCAGCCATCTATAGAACCACCTACGAGTTGCCCGCTGACAACGATGAGCGTTTGCTGCAACGCGCCGCCATCAAGGCCGCTGAGCTGCATGTCTGTGGTTACATCACGCATACGCACAGTGGACGCAAGGTGGGTGGCGAACTCGAGGGCAGCGCGACGAGTCTGGAGCAAATGATGTCCTGGCTGCGTGACGAAATAATGCCAAAGGAGGCGCGCGAGCAGCCACGATTTGCCGAGTGCCTGCCGCAGGAAAAGTCCAAATATCAGAATTTCTTCTACGTGTGAGTGTCGTCGTGATGAGGAAAGCGGAGAGAGAATAGGTGGGGAGATGTGGAAAAGTTGCAGATGTTTTTAGTTTAATAAAGTTTTAATAAAAGCCATGCTGTATATAATATATATTATGTAAATAGAAATATTAATTTCTTTTAAAGAGAAAATTTAATTGCTTACAATCAAGACGGAAATACATATTTCGCAGTTGATGAAGCTATTTTTAAACGACTTCAAAAAAGGAGGAGGTTCGCAATTCATCTATACTTTTATTATTTTCATTATTTTTTAAAATTATTTTTGGATAATTTAGCTATTGCAGAATGTTTAGTAGGTCCTGCCTATTAATTTGTGTTGGAATATTTAGCAGTCGTTTGTTTTTTTTTTTTTTTTGTTAAAATGGTTGTTAATATTATTCAAAGTCAAAGCTGGTAGACAAAAAACGATGTCACCTTCTCTACTTCACACCAGCTTTTTCCCAAATAGGATGTTTTTTTCGGTAACACAAAACTATTAGAGAGAGAGAGAGAGAGAGAGATAAGTTAGTTGGTCAGTTACTTATAACTTGAAAGGGCTTTCAGCTATAATTGTATAATAAAATTCTTACACTTTTGGCACTAAACTCAATCTTAAACTAAAGCCTTAGGATATCAGTTAAAGCCTAAATAAAAACTAAACAAATATTGATTATTCTATATATATAGTATATGTATATTCTATTATATGTATATAATACCTTTTTGTTTGCCAAAAATTCGAAGCTCCCTAAATTTGTTTAAAGTGCATTTTTCTGTTATAAACAATAACAATCAGACTGGCCATTGAACAATAGATGGCTGCTGCGACTGCGACTGCGACTGAGGCTGCGACTGCCACTGCCACTGATAATAATGATGATGATGGCGCTGGTACTCGTAATGCTGGCCGAAAACATTTTGAATGACTAGAGCGTTGACTAGAGCGGTTACAGCGGGCAACTGGGCTGACTTTTCAAAGTCAAAAACGCGATTGTATCATCGGGGCGCGCTTCAACAATGAGTTGCAGTTGCAGTTGCAATTGCTGTGATTTTTTTGCTCTCCACTTTTCTGCAGCGGCAGATAAAAACTCCGGCTAGGTAAAAACAATGCGCCAAAATAAAGGCCGGGCAGCTGGATGGGAAGGGGTAGTGGAGGGGGGAGCGGGCAGAAAGTTGGAAAGACGGCCGAGCTGCCAGTGAGCTGCAAAACAATCGAATCAATTCATTTTTCTAGGGCGTACGCTGCCACTTGAACGTTGAACTGCAGACGCCCGATTGTGACTACTGTGAAGGCGACTGGTCTTCAAAGCCATTGTTGCAATGTTGCAGCTTCGGGTACAGCTCAGCTTCAACTTCAGCAGCAGGCGGCACTTGGTCTTGATCGTGCCACGGCACTACTCATTTTAATTTTTCAAGATTTTTCTTCTTTTTTTGTGCCTATTGTAGTTTTTCTTCTCAATTGTTTTTTGCATGGCGCTACTTTGGCACAAATTGTGCAATATTTTGAGTTAGTGGGTTGGCTATAACTCATGCTGAGCGCCTGATTTATGGGCCATGTCAACTGGAACTGAAGCCGAAAAGTTCTTGGATGTCAAAAGGACTCTGCGGCACACTCATGTGTGCTGAGCATTGCGGCTGTAATTCAATTAGAGTTAAATGCTGTCAACACTTTTCGGCCGAAACATGCGCCGAACTAATAACTGATTGCAGCAGCAACAACAACAAGAACAACAACAATCAGGCCAGACAGACGACGCCAACAACAACAACAACAACAACAACGATGACGAAGACGTCGACCGACGACCGACGACGACACTTGGCGTCTGTGGCCCAGAGTTGGTTGCATAATATATTTTATGCATGCAACATATAGCCAAGACCTCGGCTGCCGTCTCGCTTGTGTCTCATGGCTTGTGTGTGTGTGTGTGTGTGTTGCAACATGTTGCCAGTGATGATGCATAGCCCGAGAATATGCGGCGCCCCTCCCTTAAACCGCAACCATGACGCCGATGTCGTCGCCGATCCTGCGCCAACTCCGGCTTCCAGCTGTGCTCGTCAACTCAGCCTTTAAGTGTGTCGAATATTCAAGTGAAAATCTTTTTTTTTTTTTTTTGTTTTTTTTCTGCGCATAACCAAATTGATAGCTTACTTCGATGCGGGCGGAGTGTGCTGCGGAAGAGTTTCAATCGCAGTCCCCGTTCCAGTTCCAGTCCCCAGTCACTCACTCACTCAGTCAGTCATTCATTCAGTCAGTCAGTCAGTCAGTTTTTCAGGCAAGGCGCAGGCGCAGAAAATATGCAACAACAATTGTGAGTGCGGCGCTTGCGTTGCTCGCTGACATTGTGTTGGTGTGTGTGTGTGTATATTTGTATAAAATATATAGTGTATGTAACTATGCACATGCCATTATATTTAGGTGGGTAGCTGCAGCTCAACAGACAGACAGACAAACATACAGACAGCCAGCCAGCCAGCCAGCCTGGACTGGCTTTGTTGTTGCTGTTGATTAGACTCGGGCTCTAAACTTGATCGCATACGCTTGGCTCTAGTTGTTGTTGTTATAGTTGTTGTTGTTGTTTTGCCTCTTTAAGTCGAACAATTACATTTTAAGCGTAGCTCAACCTTGGATACCGTTATATTTTTGCAGTTCTTGGGCGTGTTGTGGAGCAACACAGCAAACATTTACACAAAACGCTCTACAGGTTTCTAAAGCTATGGAGATATAGAATCGCAAAAATAAATACTTGTAAGTGCAGAAAAACTACAATTATTATTGTTCAGTTTCTTAGAGTTTTTCCTGTTAAACCTATAGCTTAGAGTCGATTAGGTGACTTCGTAGAGCATTGGCTCACAACGAAAGCTTCTAACGTCCCGGCTTTGGGGTCAGCACTGGTTTAATAAGTAGAATTTCATTAAGTAGGATTGGTTTAAATAGGATTAGATACATTTAATTAAGCGAATGTGGTCGTGTTTATTTGCGTAGCTGGCCGTTTGGCAAATAAAATTCCCACAGCCTGTCGGATTCGTTATTAGATATTTTTGTAATTTTTATAGGTCTTTTTATTTCTTTAGTTTTATTTAGTTTAAGTTCTCTATTGTATTGATTTTTTTTCTTTTACTTCAACTGCATTGCTTGTCGATGAAATAAATAAATAAGATTCTTAAGTTCTAGCACTTTAGTCGAAAAACATTGCTTACCGATGTTAGCCAAGGCTCCTTTATTAAGTCTACGTCGGAAAATGGCTAAATAATAAATTATATTACTTTTGCTTTGAAAAGCTGAAAGATAAAACTATAAAACCAAGCTATTTAATCATTTAATAAATTTAATTACTTCTGCTTTTTAAAGCTTAAAGATTAAGGGCTCTATGCAATAAAAACCAAATCATTTAATATTTAATATCATTGCTTTGAAAAGCTTAAAGATACAACTATAAAAACAAGTTATTTAATCATTAAATAAATTGAATTACATCTGTTTCTAAAAGTTTAAAGATTAAGAACTCCGAGCTATCAAAACGAAAACATTTTAAAACCATTTCTCATATATGTTACAAGCAATAGCCGCATTTCTGGTACCCTTCCATGTACTGTAGAAGCTTTTCAAAGTCTTTAATAAATTTGTATAATATGTCTTCTTTTGTTCTTCTGCTCAGATCTGCCAGTTAGCTGCTCACTGGGTTACCATAGCGCTGGGCTAAACACGACAAGGCAATCTGAAAACGTCGCTGGCAACGACGCGACGTCTTTGGCAACAGCCGTCCAGCTAGCTCCCCAGCTAGCTGCCTATCTAGCCAGGTCTCTGGGTAGACTCGAGCCAAGCGACCACACCCGCACACTTCATTATTTTTATGTCGCCTGTGGTGGTACGATTTAAACGACAACGAAGGCAGAGCCAAAGCGCCAGCCAGCCAGCCAGCTAGACCGCTCGCTAAGGCACGACATTCTGCGATGATGGTGGCAATGGTGGTGCTGGCGGTGGTGGTGGTGGTGGCGATGGTGATGGCGGCGTCTGTGCCCAACACAATCAAAGAGAGAAACATTCAGGAATAGACAGATCTGAATGCAAGTCAAGAAATTAGACGCATTCGACGTTTCGGAGCGCAAGCGACAAGTCAAAGTAGCAAACGGGCACACAAATGCGCTGAATGCTCCTTGAAGCACATCTCATGTTGATGTTACAATTGCTGGTTGTTGTTGTTGTTGCTCTTGCTGGTTGTTGATTGTTGTTGTTGTTGGTAGTTGGATCGTGCGCCAGCTCAAATGTGCCTGGTGGGTTTGGAAATTTGTAGCGCCAAAAGTCTGGGCAGCAGCAGCTGCACAACCGCAACAGCAACAACAGCAACAAGAGTAACAGCAACAAAAACAACAATTACCTACAATTACAACAATAACAACAGCAGCAAAAAGTCGTTACTAGCCAGCCACCAAATACTACGCCTAATGCGATGGTAACTTCTCGTCGTCGTCGTCGTCGTCGTCTCTGACTCTGACTCCATTGTAATTTATCTTGATGTTTAAATCAATAATAACACCGTCACTGTGCGTTGCTTTTAGCGAGTTTTGATAGCTCTACCTTAGCAATGGCTGCTGCTGCCGTTGTTGTTGTTGTTGTTGTTGTGTATATATAGTTTTATAGTTGTTGTTATTATTGTTATTGGAAATTTCAATATGAGCCACAACAGCAGCGGCAGCGGCAGCGGCAAAGATTATTATGGCACGAACAGCAAATGACGACGACGGGCCGATGTCGACGACGAGTGTTTTCATAATTATTGCTATAGGCTTTGATCTGGTTTCGTTTCTGTGGTAGTACATATTTATCAGTATATATGTATGTTAACTCTCTGGTATGGCAGTAGGCCGCTCAGACTGACTCTGACTCTGCCTCCGACTCTAACTCTGACTGTGACGGTCTGGCCCGCTCTGGTCGTCTACGCCTTTTTGTCTGCCGCCGCTGACGCGCTCGGAACGCCGCGACTCTTCGACTCGGCTCGGCTCGACTTGGCTTGGTTGGGTTCTATTGTTG